CTCACCAATCAATTACTTGGGTCCAATTTAGTAGAGCTTAAATGACCTCTTAATTTTTATAAACCTTTTCCCACCTATTCGAGCATCTCACAGTTGAATACCTCCCTCAGACAGGATGAAATGCTCTCAGGATGTGGTTAGCAACACATGGTGCCTAGACTTTTTTTAAAGGACAGGGAATCCTTTAAAACCAGCTGTACTGCCTGATATTCCTGCCTGATACTCCCTAAGGAAAGTTCCATTCTTCATGAAGCTAATCATTCTGAAAATACTGTTAGGTCAATATTTTTGTAATCCCTAGACACGAAGGGTGGTAGACCCCAATTTAATTCTCATGAGATGCACGTAGAACAAAGGAATTTCCACTCAGACTCTCCATAATCCTGAAAAATCCAAGGTCAAATAGTCTATCACACAAATGCCAAAAAAAAAAAAAAAAGTCAGAAAAACCCCTTGAGCTCCCCCTCTGATGTATATAACTGAGGCCTCAGACTCTCCCGCACTTAAGCCAATTAAATTCACTAGATGATTATTTATCTCTTTTAGATCTGGGTAGATGTGGCCAATGAGAACAAGGAACCGTCCCATGTGAAGGTCATCCAATTCTCAACTGATTCCTGAATTCAGATGCCATCATATTGATGTGTTAGGGTAATTGTCTCCCGTGTGGGATGTGTAAGGTATGGGAGGGGAGTAGAGCCCAGAGGGAAGAATCGAGCTCACTAGGTTTAAATTCTTGCTGAGTTCATGCTGTTTCCCTTCTCTTGATAATGCGGAACAAGAAGCCACTTTCTTCATAGGTGTTCAGTGAATATTAATTTCATCTTTTTAGCAAAGCTACCTTTTTTTCTTGAAATAAGACTCAGGATTAAATGAAGCCAGTGGATGTTTAAAGATGTACGCAGGGAAGAATGGCTCTAGGAAATCTGGGATACTATCCATGGTAAGAATGAGACAACTAAATATTGCTTCTAATAGCTTTTTAGATTAATATTGTTTGAAATCTTATGAAACAATCCACTCATCTGTTCTTTTCCCTACGATAAAAAAGAACTTGTAAGGCATTCATGGTACAAAGTACACTTCTAACCAAAATGTCTTTACCTTTTCAGTTCTTTCACGACTGCTTCTCCTTCATGTCACTGAATAATACAATTATACATGAATGATTTCTGTGCCTTAACCTTCTCCTATCTGCATGTCATTGAAGTGCTATACAAAAAGAGCAGAGGCTGCTGACTTCCAAGAAATCAGAATATATAAAATAGAGATCAGACAGCTGGTGATGATAATCTCGAAATTAAAATAAAATGTTCCTAGACAATATATAGCTCTAAAGTGTGATTTCTATTAATTTCTAAATTCTAGAATTTCCTAAGATACTTATTTTAATACATGCTTTAAGAAGAAAATAATTCTTAAATGAATTCTCCAAAGAATTGTCCCCATTACTGTTTTTCTGCATTAATGCCAACTGAGGCTTCCCTAAATGGAATAGAGATTCCAGGAATCATTTCAGAATCCCTGTGTTGGAAGAGACTTCGGAAATCATCTGATTTTTCCCAGTGCATGTTTTCATCTCCCTGATTTTCCCTACTTTTGGTTTTCTAGCCACTACTTGGACACTTGCAGTGACAGACTCTCACTATGTCATGAAGCAGATCCATCACTAATGGGTTGGTCCAGTTTTCAGAAAGATGCCCCTTTCACTTATAAACCCAAATATGCCTTTCACCTTCCTGTTCATATTTGACCTGTCTGCTCACACTTCACCTGTTTTGCTACCTGTTTAAAGATGATCTGGTGCAGTATGGGGCTCATAGACCTGGATTCAGTCTCAGCTCCACTACTTACTACTTACTGTTCTGTTCCTTTAGGGTACCGTCTATTAAGTACTTCCTGTGTACTAAACCCTTTACATGCATTCTTATTTAATTTTCACTAAAAGCCTGTAAAGGTAGATAATATTTTTGTTCTATCTTACTATGCAGAAACTGAGGCTTGATGATCATGTTATAATAATGATAATGATGATGACAGTATTATTGAATACCAATCATATGCTAGGTGCTATGCTAGGCTCTTCATAGGCATTATACCATTATCAGAATTTAAATAACTGGCCTATTATCTACCTAGTGTCTGAAGAAGCTGGGTGTTCAAATTCAGGTCAGATACTCAAAAGACTCTGGATTTAACTCTTTAAGCCTCATTCCTTTGTCTGTTCAGTGGGATTACTATTACCTTCCTCACAAAGTTTTCTGAGATTCAAACTAATGGCCTATGAAATGATGTAGCATTCTTGCTTGAAAAATACTTCCTGTCACATCTCATTTATTCATTTCTTTAAAGGCAGCTTTTTAGAAGACCCTTCCTTCCCCTTTCTCTAGGTTTATGTTTTCCAGGATAAATGTCTCCAGTTCTTTCAGTCTTTGGTCAGTCATTGAACAAATATGTGTCAGCACTCTGCCCAGTTGGAACATACACTCTAGGGAGGACACAGACAGTAAACAATAAATCTGATAACTCAGTGAATCCTCTCCCATGTGAGAAGAGAGTAAGTGCCACAGTGGGGAGGGTGGATGGTGAGGCACGTGGGGTAAGTGAAATTAGGACGCTGGGAGCCACTTACTGTGGCTGTGTAACCAGTTACCCCAAAACTTAGTGGCTTAAAGCAACAATGATGGTTTATTATACCTCTTGGTTTCTGGAGCTCAGAGATTCGGACAAGACATAGTGGAGGTGGCTTATGTCTGCTCCACGATGCCTTGGGCCTTGGCCGGAAGACTTTACAGATGGCAACTGGAATCAACAAAAGGGTCATTTACTCACATGTCTAGTAGTTGACGCTGGTTGTCGACCGAAGTCCTCAGTTCTTCTCCACGTGACCTGTTCCATGTGACCTGGGCTTTCTCACACTGCAAAGGCTGAGTTCCAAGGGCGACAGAGCCAGGTAGAAGCTATATTTCCTTTTATAACCTAAACCCATTGACCATACAACATCATTCTCACTATATTCTGTTGGTCAAGGCAATTTTCAAGTTCCACACTGGTTCCAAGAGAAGGAAAATAGGACAGAAACCCAACAGGCTACCGCCTCTTCTAAGCTGCCTTTCAGTGTCACTCACTTCTCTCTGTCTCTGCATTTGGACTGGGAACCTCCAACTGGTGGGGCAGTGGGAACCACAGCAACTCCTTGGTCCTTCTGCCACCATCCAGAAGAACCCTAATGTGAATGGATAAACACCACCTTTCAGTTCCTAGCAGACCATCATCTTCCCCCTTCAATTCTGCTATGTCTGTAGGCAGCCCAGCTGAAAGCAGTAAGGGGTCTTTGAGCAGAGGCGCAAGTGTCAGAAGCCTGTGATGCCTGCTGACACCTCCGGATGAGTCACTGTTTGTCCAGGGAGAGACTCTCACAGAAGAGTGAAAACTGCCAAGAGACGCACCAGACCAGTCATTGAATAATTCCATTCCATCCTCATTTTTAGCAAGAAACACCAGGAAGGGTGGCAATGAGAGCATGAAAAAAAATTAGTCCTAGTTTTTTCCTCTTGCCGACTGGAAAAAGAGAACACTGGCAATCTAGCGCCCTTCATTTTTCATCATGCTAGAGTACAGTCCCTGTAGCGTTCCTTAACATGGTAGTGGGGCTGTCGCGGTATCATTCCTCACGTAGCCCGTTCCTCTGTGTTTCACTCCTGTGAAATAGATGTTCAGTTTTACAGCTAAGAAAAATTCAGCTTCGAAGCAGTCATTCTATTTGCTATATTTATACAGCGGCCATTTTGTAGCTCAGGGGATTTGTCAAAAGCATGGCCATTACTGATACAAAATTAAAACTAGCCAGTCCAGATCTTAAGATTCAGATATTAAGATGGAAGGCACGGAGAAGGAGGTGCCAAAAAAAAAATGCTGACTTCATCTTTTTGACCTACCTCGCTTGTGATCTGTTTTGCAATTGGTAAGAACAGGGGACGGATTATAAGGTTTTGATCTGTAGTACAAGGTCATGGCAGTCCATTTGCTTTAAGTAGCAGGTTCAATGTTTGATGGCCTTTGATAAGGAAACTGGAATTCTTAGAACAAGAGTGTAGCGTGAAAACATCAAGAATGAATCCAGAAATGGGTCTGTCATAGTCTGTGAAATTTCTTTGTCTCATGTCGCCCCTCTCATTTGCTCCTCTTTTCTATGGCGAGATTATTGTGTGTTAGGTGTTGCAGGACCTTTGAGTGATGGAGGATGTGATGTGAACAACCACTGTTATTTATGATGCTAGCGTCCTCCCTCCCACGTTTCCCTGTGTGTGTCCTCTGTCACCTTTGTTGGTCCTGGCCCCTCACCCCTGCACGTGCCATGAGTTGCATTTTGTAGTGAAAGACCGCCCTGCACAAAAGCCTGCTTCCTGCACGAGCAGCGCCTGGTCTCAGCGCCCTGCACCTGGGCTGGCGTTTATTCTGATTTGGTGTTATGTTTCCAAAACACTCAGATTTCTACTTCCCCACTGCACTGGGGAATGTGTTTTTTCTTCCACAACCACATACACTTAGTGCCTTGAGTGGTCACCACCTGGTTCTTTCATCAGACTGGTTTGGATTTTACAAGGTGTTACAGTTTCTAAAAAACTCCTACGGTCTCTCACCCTTGAGTTAACACCAGAAGTTATGGAATGATTCACCTAGTAGGTGTTGCTTATCCCCAAAGTGCCCAGCTCTCTTGATGCTGAAGCGGAGTGTTTGTGGATAACAAATAATTCTCTGTAAACTGCAGTTCCGTGATGCTGTGGTGTTGTTCTGCCATAGAAGTGAGTGGGCAGCTCCCTGGGGTCACCCTGTTGCTGTAAGGGGCTACCGCTGGGCACTCGGAGGGAGAAGAGAGAACCGTGAAGCTGCAGTAAGAACCAGGGAGTTTCTTTAAGAGAAGGAACATCAAGCAACCCTAGTATATCTGATACCCTACTTTTTCCTTTATTGAGCTTGTTCTGAATTTTTCCCTTCAGAGCTGCCCAGAAGTTAAACCTATCTTCTAAGAAGAAGAAACATCGACCTTCCACTTCCTCTGCTGCCGAGCCACCCCTCTTTGCCACCAGCTTCAGTGGGATCCTGCAGACGTCCCCTCCCCCGGCCCCACCCTGCCTGCTGAGAGCCGTTAACAAGGTGAAGGACACACCAGGCCTGGGCAAGGTAGGCACCATGCGTCTTGGCGCTGGCTCCCCTCGTGCGTGGGGCCCTGCATCCGGGGAAGGAAGAGAATGAGGGCTCGGTTTGCTTGTGAAAACAAGGTGACAGGGAGGAAAGGAGATAAAGTGAAATTCGTTTGGAAGTACCGTAAAATTTTCTTTGGTTATATATACTCAGTAGTAAATAAGACATTCCAATTATTGGAGATCCAGTTTGATTTTGGCAGAAAAAAACCCAGCGTTGTATTATTTGACAGAACTGCAACCAATTAAAGAAAAGACCCCAAAACACAAGACTGAAGACAGAGGCAGGAGGCCAAGAGACTCAGTACAGGAATAAGACAGAAAGATGCCTCGTAATTCCCTGGTGACATTTTCATTTTTTCTCTCCTTCAGAGAAATCACAACTTCTACTTTTGAACCAGACCACTGACAGGATTTCTGGGGAGCATTTTCAGTTGCACCATTCTAGCCAAGAAATGCAATTTTGAATTTTTACAAATCCTCAGAGATGAGGAACACTGTCATGAGGTGTCAGAACAGCATCACAAGACGTTGCCCAGCTGTGTTTGGGATAACTTAGTTTTTAAATGTCATCTCTAAACTCTCTCTTCTGAGAGAAACATCTGCATGAAGTAACTTATGGCTTACTCTTCAATTGGTAAATAATCTGGAACTGATAGAAACATTTAGCTGAAGCAGCTAAAGGTGGCTGCTTTCTTTCTTTTACTTTCATCAGAAGTAGGATGATGCAAACGATCTTGCCAGTGGCTCATCTTGGGAAGTTGCAGGTCTTGCTGAAGGGACTGGCTGCTAAATCCTAGATGAGGGTTTTATTTCTTTAGGATATTGATTCCCTTTCTCCTTGACCCTCAGCGTGGTTATTCCCAGGCTCATAGCCTCAGCTTAACTCAGAGGTCCTTCTGGAGTTCACCCTGGCACCCTCTGCCCTTCTTCCTTCGTGCTTCTCTCATTTTTGGATTTCTCCTGCCCCTTCCATGCTCTCCCACCCCCAATTTCACCACCCACTGGGAAGGTGCTAACTTGCTACATCATTCTTTTCAACAGTGCTTGCATTTTAAGATTATGTTGAATAGAGTGATGCTTATTCTAATGCATAGCATCCAATCCTGGAATTTTCCATGGCATTGGGCAGGACTTTCCCAGGCCCAGAGGTAAAACAGGAAACAAGGCAGCAGGGCAATGGCCTGGGCTCAGTCTGCAAGGGCTGCTGTAGCATTGCTGGCCATGGAAGGTGATGGAAAAAACCATCTGACCAGGACTCCCATGGGTGGGAGCGGCTGAGGAAGGGCCATGGCACCCCCATGGGGGCATGTTATGTTCATAACAGATGGCTGATAGACTGCCCTCTAAGATGGGTGGGTACAAGTAACTGTGGGACTTTTAAAATTAAAAAAAAATTTAATTGTGGTAAGGTACACATAACCTAAAATTTACCGTCTGAACCATTTTTAAGTGTACGTGGACTTTGGTTTTGCTAAGAGGAGTTTGGAACTTTAATGCCAGAGCTGAAGTGCCCTGGACAAAGGGACATCGAACTGCCATTCCAGTCTCCTCTTGTCTTCTGCTCTGAGAGACATCCTCCTTCTCTTCTGAGTACATGTGAGCCAGTATTTAAATGCTGTCACTCTAAAGAGGTACCAGGCTATCAGCCAACCTGGGCACTCATACACCCCAATATGCCCCTGTCTAGGACACCTTGAAATGAGCCACATAAGAAACTGTCTTCCGGCATTTATAACAATGACCCAGTCTGTGGTTCCTAAAAGGGCCAATTCAGATACAGATGGGCCTGGACCCCAAGGCTAGGGCTTTCTGTCCCCTTCTTCCCCAATCCTGACCCCTCTCCCTGGAATTCTGAGACAAGGAGATCTGGGCACTAGGCAGGGGCTGAGCCAGCAGGAAGAGTGTTAACAGCCAGGATGACCCAGCACTGGCACCAGCATCGTCTGGAGGGCACTAGTGCCATCTGACTTCACGGTGTACTCTGTGTAGTGGCCAGACTGAAGTATAAGTACAAGTAAGATAAGCAGCCTAGGACCAGGTATAACTACATTTAACCTTATGCTCATTTGTAAACTAAAGCTTACAAATCATACACTTATTTTTCAATGGAATATGCTATCCCCCCCACTCATTTGCAATCCAATGTGCTCTTCAGAATGGGAGAGGGTAACTTTAACCAGCCAGGAAGGACAAGGAAGTGTTAGTCCAAAGAAGTGTGTCAAGGATGGGGTCCCCAGGCTGGGTATCACAGAAGATAAGATCAGGTATGACTTCTGTCTGGCCAGTGGCCACATGGCAGCTGCCCTGCTGAGCACGGGGCCGGGGACATGGGTGGAGAGAAATGACAGCGCAAGAGGGGTGCTCTCTGGAAGGCAGCGTAATCATATATTTCACTTGAAGAGAGCTCCTTCAGCATCCCTGCCCTCCTGCCTCCTCTCTCTAAGGAGCATCCACTTCACAGGATGTAAGAAGGCCTTGACTCTGCTGCGTGGCCCTGAACTTAGCGGAGTCCCATTTCCCAGACTCAGCTCCCCCCACCCCGCTCCATACTCCACTCTAATGAGGAGCTGCAGTTCCCACCCCGCCCAAATGGAAAAATTCCTGGTCAACTGATCTCTTTTACATGATTTACATATTAGCATCTCAAAGAAATACAATGGAGCTTAATATAGAACATAAAGAATTGGTGCTCTATGTAAATCATCGCCTTTGAAGTAGAAAATCTTGACTGAATTGCCAGAAAAGCTTAATTATTTCACCTGAGCTGGGGGTCTCCTGAGGTGGGGGCAGGGAGCCAGCCCAGCCCAGCCCCTCTTCTCATGCCTCAAGCACCCAAGGACTTTCTTGGGAGATCTGTGGATTGGCCTTGGTGGGTTTCTTTAGAGCTACCCTCTTGTTTGTAGACAAGAAAACTGAGGTCCCAAGAGAGCAGGAGATGTTCCCGTGCCTCGTGAGTCAAGCCCAGGGGTCAGGACCTGTAAGACGTTTTACTTTCTGTGTCTCACTGGGCTGCTGCTGGATATACATGACCTTTAAAAATTTGCGTGGAGAAAGAATACAATAGGGCCATGAATAAATTGGGAGCCAGTTACCTTCATCCAGTGGAAAGGACACCCAGCCTTTCTCAGAGTCATGGTCCAGAAAAGGCAGTGACTGGCAAGGGTGGATACACTGCCACTCAGAGACACCCACCCACACTCCCTCTCCCTCCCACCCCTGGCTGTTTCCAGCAGCAGCTGCCCCTACCCTCCAGCCAGAGTCCTTGCTGGCCACTGAGCACTTCTTGAGGCAAAAGCTTTTCTGGGGGCCCTGGTGATGGAGGAGCTTGAGGTTAACTTTAGTACACTTGGATCTGAAGCACAGCACACATGCGACACAGGAAACATCTTAGCACCTCCAGCACCTAGAGCAGTACCTGGCACACAGCAAATATTTATTGAGAAACTTCTGTGTGTCAGGCCCTGTCTGGGCACCAGGCTTACAGTGAGGGACAGACAGACAGAATGCCTGTGCCCACATCCCTTACAATCTAGTCATGACAACAGGCAGTCTTGGACATCTCACTGACTCATACCAATATGAAGGACAATTTGACTTAAGGAAAAGTTGGAATCACCTACTTACTTAATGTAACTGTCTTACTTTCAAGTTACATAAAGAAGCAATGCTACTAAGTGGTCATGCAGAGACATTGTTAATGAATAGATAAAGATAATTAGTGGATCAAAGCAGCTCAGTCCCTGTTTATATTTCATGGGTTTGGCTTTAGGTAAATGATACTTCTAATCTGTTTGAAAATGGTTCCTTCTCCTAAGTCAGTAAATGCTCTTCATGAAATTTGTTTGCACAATTAATTAACATCCATGTTTAAGGTTCATTTGTTAGTGTGTCACAGATTAATGTCACAGCGCTTACTGTTGGATTACAAGCTTCTAGGGCAAAGCGTATTATCTGTTTAACTCACTCTGAATATGGTTCTGCAGCCCCACCGTGGGTGCATACATGCTTGTAAAGGTGAGAGTGAAAATGGTGACCATCATATTGGTGGTGATGACAATCAACTGGTTAATTCTCCTCTTCCTGGAAGAATTACTTAAGGGGAATACACGAAGCTGGAAGGGGAGAGGAGCCTTCTTTTCCTTCGTATTCTCCAGGAATGATTCAAAAGGATGGATTTTTTTTTAAGGTACTAATGTAGCTCTTATTTGTTTATTCAACAATTAGAAATGGCTGGTGTTGCTCTCTCTTGTTTAGGAAGTGATGCCAGGTTATACCAAGGGGAAAATTTCATGCCTTCCAGCTCACCAAGGTCTGTCTGATTTAAACTGTATGCAAATTATCAAATTCCTCATTAGCATTCTTCACTACCATTCCCCATCCTGAAGCTTTAGCAGAGAGAAGAGGAAAGACTTGAGTCAGCCTTTAAAGTATTCAAATATGATGTGAAATTCTGGATCCCACTACTCACCAGTGATTACTCCATTCTTAAACACTTACAGACAGTAGAAAGGAATGGTGAGGTCTCCATTTTGGTGGTGTTTGAGGGGGAAGGAAGAAAAAGACTGCATAAATAATATATGCACATTCATCAGGATAGCTGGCCTGATAGCTTTGTAAATTGAATTGTTAGCTCTTCTGGGAAATAAAGTCGCGTGACCTTCCACTCCCTAATTACAGTTCTTTTCTGTGCTCGGTTGGTTTTGGTCGAGTCCGCTAAGCTCGTGTACTTAGAATTTGTTTTTTTCCTCCTTCCTTTCTTTCTTGTTTTGACCCCTCCTCCACCCTATATCTCCAGAGAAAGGAGACTTGGGGAAAATGTTCTGACTCATTAATCTTCGCAGTTTCCTTTTCCCTGGCAGGCAGAGGAGTCTGCTCCTGTCCTAGAGTCCGCCCACCCCCACTGCACATCCCAGGGCTCAGGAAATGGAGGTGCCGCTGCTGGGAGGGCTGCGCTGCTTCTGGAACTCACCTGAATAG